GGTTTGTATACAACAGTAAATGTATAGTCCTGTAGTCTCAGCATCCATCTTTGTATGCGTGGAGGGGGGTTAGCTCCAGGGTTACTGAACATGGGGACTAATGGCTTGTGGTCTGTGGTTATGGTGAACGGCTTTCCAAGCAGATATAGACGGTTAGATTCTATACCCCAGCATGCACCAAGGGCCTCACGCTCGGTCTGTGAGTATCTGGCTTCAACGGGGGTCAGGGATCTGCTTCCGTAGTGGATGATTTTACCATTTTGAGATAATATGGCTGATAGTCCAACTGGGGATGCATCAACATGCACTATGGTATCCAACTGGGGGTCAAAGTAAGCCATGCAGGTTTCAGATTTGAGGGCGGCTTTGGTTTCATCAAAAGCCTGTTGGTGTGTGGGGGTCCATGTCCATTTGACATGCTTCAGGGTGAGGTCACGAAGTGGTTTGGTTATGGTTGCTAGATCCACTTTTGCTGAACTCACATTTTTGGGAGTTTATTGTGAGATTGTTCTCATCCAAGCGTTGTAGTACAGCCTTCAGTGCACGATTGTGGTCATCAGTGGTTTTTCCGAATATGAATATGTCGTCACTGATGTTGATTTGATTAGGTATGCCTTGTAGGACTTGACGCACTAGATCCTGGAAAACCTCACTGGCGCTACATATTCCAAAGTTCAGCCTTTTATAGCGGTATAGGCCACAGTGCGTCTGGAATGTGGTAATGTATCGTGACTCAGGATTTAGCTCTATTTGGTGATATCCTTTGTTGAGGTCAATTTTGGAGAACGTGGTCGCGCCATTGACCTGGCGTATGATATCATCCATGGTGGGTGTGAAATGACGTGTTCTCATGATGGCGGTATTCGCGGACCTCATATCAGTACAGATTCTGATTTGATCCGACTGTTTCTTGTTAACGATAACGATAGGTGATACCCATGGGGTAGGGCCGTCAACTGGTTCGATGATATCATGTGATAGGAGACTTTCGATTTCAGCCTCTACTTTTCCACGAAGATGAAAGGGAGTTCGGTTGTGTGTTTGGGCAACAGGGGGTACGGTTTTATCAATGTGTAGTTTCACTTGTTTGTCCTTTAGTTTCCCTATTCCCGTTAAGATGGAGCTGTGGTTGTTTAAGATATCCTGAATAACTGAGGGTGTCCCAGCATGGTTGAGGTTGTAGGTTATGTTGATGAGCTCCAGCTGTCTTGCAGCTTCATAGGATAAGATGGGTGTTATAGAGGGGTCATCTATAACATGGATGGTGGTAGTAATAGTTATGCTTCCATAGCTAAGGGAGGTCTTGAAGCTTCCCATAAAACTCAGGGGTTCCTTTCCTGCAAAGGCATACACAGGGGATCTGATTGGTGCCAGTTGTGGTTCTGGGTGTAGATTCTGCAGTGTCTGGTTATTGATCACATTAACAGAGGATCCTGTATCCAGCAGGAAATTGATATCCAGGTTATCCAATTTCAGGGTGATATGTGGGCATCTGGGTAAGGATTTGAGAGGAAATGCGTAGTCTGCAGACGGGTTAATGGGTGCTTCGTCTGGATTGGCCATGTGCTCAGTGACCTGCCTGACCTTCTGGCTTTGGCTAGGGGCTGGTTTCTGCCCTGATCTACACATCTTCGAAAAATGGTTCATCCTCCCGCATTGCCCGCAGTGCTTTCCTTTTGCTGGGCATGTAGATGTGTGGGGGTACGGTCCGCCGCATAGTCCACAGGTAGATGATTTCTGGTTGGTTGAGGTTACATTGTTATTCCTGTGGCGATATGCCTGCTTATGTAGTGCATTAATGTCCTCTTTTGTGGTTTTTGTTATGTCCTCTGCTTGGGACGATGATTGGATTTGGTACCTGGCGTAGTCCAGTAATTTCTTGAGGTCCCAATTGTTTGACGGATTTAGTGCCTTTTTTCGCAAGGTGTCATCAGTGGTGCCGACGATGATTTGCCGTTTCACCTCAATATCCTCCTGGTCGTTGAAGTCGCAGTTTACGCTTTGTGATCTCAGGCGTGTGTAAAACTGCATGATGGTTTCAGATTCTTCTTGTTTGAGCAACCTGAATGATATAATTTCAAAGTCAATATTCTTCCTTGGTTCGAAATACTCCAAGAGGTTCTGTTTCGCTGATTCGAAATCATCATCCGATCCAGTGTTTCCCAATGTTTCGAATAGATCGTGGAGTTGAGGACCTCCAAAATGCAATAGCATTGCTCTTTGCCTTTTTGCATTGGTAATGTTTTCAGCGACTAGAAACGTCTCGAATCGCCGAATCCATTTCTTCCAAGCGGTGGATGCGTTGGTTTGGTGGATGTCAAATGGTGGGAACGTGATGCCGTTACTCCTCGTCGCCATTGTAATGATCTGATAGATCGGTAGATATTGATTGGTTATTGGTTATTGATGTGAGTCTATAGAATATAATAATGACAAGCACAAGATGTAGTGTGTTCACTCATGGTGTATATTCTTTTAACTGATGAACCAGGATGTCTCCTGGTAAGATGATACATATGGGTACATGTGGTCAGTGGTCAGTTAGTACAACATATGGTATTATATAAATGAGGTCATTACAACACCTTCTCAGTGTTAGAGCCATGCAAAGCGCCAGTTATCAAACAAGCTGCATTATATTGAAGTCTGTTTCACTTAATCAAAGATAATTCAGGGGCACTAGAATATATAACCATAGCCAATTCGACTCAAAATAAAGGCATTATGAATGGTTTCTAAGTGTTTAGATCTTAAAACATGAGTCAACCTTTTAAAAGGGTTTAGCAAAGCTTGAGACTGTTTTATTAATTCATTTATATGCTCTTTAAAGGATAGTTTTTGATCTAAAATGATACCCAGGTGCTTATGGGTATTTTGTTTTTCTATTGGGTTAGTTCCCAAAAATAGAATTGGTTCATTTTGAATACGGTTGTTGGTGAAGTGAACGTCAAGTCAACCGATTTTGAGGCTTTAAAGTTCATTTGCCATGTTTGGGCCCAGTTATATATTTTATTAAGATCTTGTTGTAAATCAAGACAATTTTGTGGCTGATCTATTGGATAGGGGCTAAAAATTATCATCTGCATAGATAAATGTTTTGGATTTTAAATTTGTTGGTAGATCATTTATATAGATAAGAAACATCAAAGGCCATAAGATGCTACACTGGGGTACACCTGCATTTAGAAAGTTTGGTTCAGACAAATTTGAAAGTTTTTCATTTATCTTGACTTTAACCTGTCTACCAGAAAGATAGGACTTTAAAAGTAAGAGTAAACCATCTTTTATACCATAAGCTGATATTTTATGAAGCAAAAGATGATGAGGGACAACATCAAATGCTGATGCAAGGTCCAAAAAGATTGTGCGGACATTGTTACCATTATTTAACTCCTCGTGGATACAATGAATAATAACCTTTCTGTTGAGTATATTGTTTATGTTAATATAGTTTATCGAATGTGCAACTCACCTGACACCTTGACTCATTTTATAAAAGAATGTGAAATGATTGAACATTTAAGGGGTCCGATTCGACCATATTTATTGGCAAATCGGTAAAATTATGTCAGCTTTTTTTGCACCCAGTTGTTTTGATGATAGTCCATGGTATAAAATCTCTAGGACGTCTAATAAAGGAGCTGGTAGCACACTATAGCGCAGCGATATTTGACCTTACATTAACATACCTATATATGTTCCCTAATGATTTTTATTATAACCGTTTAATATACTCCCGGCTTTTAGGCTGAATTATGCCTGCCATTAACAGAGGTCAAAAAATCACCAAAAAATAAAAATTTTCACAATTTGGAGTAGACAATGCAACAGAAAATAATACAAAATGATTTTAAATATATGATTTAGGTTTCTAAGCTATAAGTTTGAGGTTAATTTTCTTATCAATACCCAATCAGTGTATCGACATTTTGTATTGTTTCTCAGGTATTAATAAGATTAATGCTACAAATGAATCACTTTTATATTGGAATGACAAATGCTTATATTATGCTAGATTTTCACAAAATGGGTCTCAATACGTTTTGAGAAATGCACTTTTATTCAGCGGTAAAAATTGTCAATAAAGATAGGCCTATTGCTCTTCCTTGACTAATTGGGACTACGGCTAAAATTCTATTTCCCGTAGTCAGATATAGCTCAGTTGCTTATAAAACAACCATCAAGATTTGATCAAATTCATGAATAATTGAGAAAAATCGTTATCATTATCTTCCTAAAATTTGATTATATCCAGCGGTAAGGTCAAAGAAGAAACAGCCATCAGAAAACTTGATGGTAGCCACAAGTAACGTCGAGGAAGAATTGTTAGGCGTTCGATTGCATATGACTCTATTTGATTATTAGACATGCCCTTGGAATATATGAACATTCCAATACCTCTGTAACATCTAATTAGATATAAATCTTACCTATTTGTTATTGTATTATGTTTTATAAAACATGAACAATAATTTGTTGTTTGACCCCTTGCGATTACATGGAAAAATTCTGGTAATAAAATGTTCTAAATAGTAAGAAAACTAATATGTTTTCAATCATAAATTACCTAAATATTCCACATAATTTTGTTGAATCGGCTTGGCTCATATTTGAAAAATCAAACAAAATCTGAAAAACACACTTGCACAATTACACTAATTAAACACCGACATTTACAGTAAAATTAAATAGTATATTTTTAAATTATGATAATCTATTTTTGTTCGTATGCTTAGAATAACGGTCTGTGTCTTATAAAATGTATAAACGTTCGAATCAAAATATTTACGTTTTTTGACCCCCTGTGATAAAAGACATTTTTCGACCCGAAGGCCGGAAGTTTTTTCAGCAAATGGTATTTCAAAAGAATCAAGACATGTACACCTTCATAAATATTGCTTCAAATGTTGCTGCAAGTCTCTCACCCTGTAAATAATCAACACTAAAAGTGTATATATTATTTTTAATTTTCTTACATCACATTGTCTTTAGATAATTATGTATGATGATCAGAATTGGTCGCAATAAAGAAATGTAAATATATAAGAGGGTCGTAATCGAATAATAAACACCTCATACCAAAGTAATACCAAGGAAAGTTTAGAAAAGGTTTTGAATTGCCCTTGTATCAATTTGGATATGGTTGCTTTTTGATTTATAAAACTTTTCTAATCAACGAAAAGCAAAAGTATCCATTTTAATGTAATTTTGTCAAATTCGAGGCCGAGGGGCATTCGAAAACCATTTACTAAATGTATGATAATGGTTCTACATGATCTTTATCTAATATTTCAGGAATAAAAACTGAATGCAAAGATACATTTCTGTAAATTAATGTTTCAATGGCTCCTTCGCCATGTCGGCTCCTTTTCACAGTTGGATAACACGAGTTTGCTATATCCGAACACTTTACTTTTTTCCTGTCCTTTGTTAGCTTCTCTTCCATATGGTTGTACCAATAATACTCACACTGGAACTTTTTCACACCATATCGTGCTTTAAAAAGAGACACAGGATTTTTTATAGAAGGGTACCAGCCACGGCTAATTGGACGCTTGTGTATCGGATAAAAATCGTTTATACTGATGAATTCTTTCAGAAGTTTACGTTCCCATACATGCGTTCCATTGTTTACAAAAGGATAAATGTCTATAAATGGCAATCTCCATTGGAAAGGTTTCCTAGCCGGAGGTGAAGAACATTTGTAAAACTTTGCTTGGAGGAAAAGGGAAGTGTCTCCGTTGTTCCAAATCTCTCTCCAAGCAGAGAAGTTTCTTCTTTGAATGCCACACTGAAATTCTTTGTATATGTTTCGTCCATCTGTCATACTATGAACGCCGTATCTGCCCGTCTCGACCAACTCCTGAAAAGCCAACATTTGCCTTTCATAATCTCTTTGGTCGGTATTAATATCAATGTCATCATCCCATGGGATAATGTCATGGAAGAGATACGAGCCAAGTAGCGACCCACCCTTTAACACATAGGTGACGTTATATTTTTTGAAAGCACGATCTAGTTCTGCTAGAATTTCATAGAGGTCGCTGAACATCGAGTCGGGTACACGCCTTGGTAATAATGAACAATTTGTTATAAATAAAGGATGCAGCACATTATTTTTCTCTCGTGTAAAGGTCGCATTTCTGAACCGTGAACGTTCTAAAGATTTCGTTAGATCCATACTGTACTTCTCCTGTTTTGCATTTCCCGTACCGTTCAAAAGTATCCGATCGTTGTTTGTAATGTTTGGTGTTCGCTTTACCATTCTATGAGATACGAAAAAGAAATAGTATGACAATAGCATCGAATTGAAAATAACAAAAATAGCTATGGATCTCTGTAAGGTCTTCATAATTCATCTACTTAATCCCAATTAACCTTGTTTAATTAAGTTATATCTCCGAGTTTCCAACAATATTGTGAGAACTGGTTAGGACGGTGGCTATTTAACTTCGTCTTTAATATACGCTCTCCCTCAAAAGTTTGGGAACCTGGATTCTCCATGCGTTGGTGATGTGTTAATATTTAATCCACTTTGGGAGATTCAATTTAATTCAAACTCATATTCAGGCTGAATAAAATTATACCATTCTAAAAGACATTGTCTAGTTAAAACTTAGTTCATTAGAAACTCAATGTTTCCATAGTTTTGGAGTTGATATTTATGCATATGCTCATAATAAAATCAATTTTATAGCTACCTGGATTATATGTTTGATCAATAAATACAAAAGCACTAAAAATACTTCTTGTAACGTGCAATTATATAATTTATTATAAGTCATATACGCGTCCCGAGTAAAGAAGGCGAAATCCAAGAATGTGCTGGCTCAGTTAGAATGAATGATTCAGAGCGATTCAGTGATCATGCTTATTAATAGTACCCAAGTCGTGTCTTACCCAATCAAATTGAAGCAATATGAAAACAGACCTTTGTGACTTTGAGAAGGTCATTGAAGGTCAAATCTTTAGTCAGATTTGAACTTTTGAGAACTTGTAGATGATTTTGAAAAAAAATTGAAGCAAGTTGAAACCTTGAAAAGGTCATTGAAGGTCAAATCTCAAATCTTAAGTCAGATTTGAACTTCTGATAACTTGAAGATGATTTTGAAAAAGAAAAATTGGTCAATTTGAAGCAAGTTGAAAGTTTTTGACCTTTTATGACCTTGAAAAGGTCATTGGATTTGAACTTCTGAAAACTTGAAGATGATTTTGAAAAAATTGAAGTTAAAACAGTATTTAATTACCGGAAGCAAGTTGAAAAACCTTTTGACCTTTTTTGACCTTGGGAAGGTCATTGAAGGTCAAATCTCAAATCTGAAGTCAGATTTGAACTTCTGATAACTTGAAGATGATTTTGAAAAAAATTGTCAATTTGAAGCGACTTGAAAAATACCTTTTTGACATCTTTTTGACCTTGAAAAGGTCATTGAAGGTCACTTAAATATCATATTAAATATATAGTCAGATTTGAACTTCTGAAACTTGTAGATGATTTTGAAAAAAATTGAAGTCAATCTAAACAGTATTTGTTAAGTTATTGGAAGTTTTGGTGGTGACATAAAAATCATTTTGACTTTTCCCCTAAATATATACTTTAGATACCAAAAGACAAATCTTTCTCGAATAATTTGACACCATCAGATTCAAAATCTGTCCTTGATTGGCTCCACAGGACAACTTTTAGTGTCCCATTGTAAAATCTGACTTGCGCCAACTTCTAAGTAGAAGCTTGACCTTTAACTGAGTCATTCTGTAATTTTCCTATTTGTCTTACATATGATCATTGGGTCTATCCACATAAACATGCGATCCCCTCAACATGTTCTCCAAAGCAAATCTGAGGTACCCTTGCCCATGCGCACATGCATTGTAATATCACACTGATTCCATAAATTATTTTTGCAGAAGTTCATTTAGGTCAGTTTTTGATGCTGTAAAGTGCTTTCAGAGGCCCTTCAAAAAATCAAGGGTGTAAAGTGGGATGACCCTGGGGGCCAATCCATCGGGTAATTCAATGCTATCTTCTGATTTCCAAAGAGTTCTACCAAACGATCTGACACAGGTCTTTGCACCATCCTGTTGCCATCATACATAGCAAAATTGAACACTCCGACAGTGAAATCTTGTACTTCTATCCAGGAAAGAAACAACTGGATCATTGATCATATCAAGATATCACTGTCCACAGCATTCACACAAAAAATAATTGATCACCACATGTCCAACCACTGAGAAATTGGCGCAAATATAATTTCACATGCGTCTATGAAATCTGTCCTGTACAGCCAATCATGGACGGATTTTCAATCTGATGGTGTGGATTTATTCGAGAAAGTATTTTGGTATCTAAGTATATTTTAGGGGAAAAGTCAAAATCATGAAAGATATTGAACTTTTTTTAATTTGTAAGTGTAACATTTTTTTGAGACACTCTGTATAGTATAGAGTTGAGTAGGGTGGGAGCAAAGTCAGCCTCTGGATCTATGAATGTTTCAATCTCTTCCCCATCTCCACCTAATGTAATATTAGTCATGCTGAAACAAAGACAAAAATATGATTGTGAACAAACATCTGACTCTGATCAGTCCAATAGTAATTCAAATTCCAGTATCTCCAAAAAAGTGAGTAGCTCCCATAATTCTTTGGTATTGCTTGGTATCAGTGTATCCCCCTTAGCTTTCCTTACATGGTCCTACAAGCCTTATATGGATCTATCACATGACATATTTAAAATGAAGGACAACAGTAATGCCTGGGTCACATATGCTCCAATCCATCGGCCGGCGCCCGGCCGATCGGGTGTTTTGTTCAATATTGTTTTCAATTTTGAACAAATACTCAATCGGCCGGGCGCCGTAGTGAAAATCGGAACAAATGTGACCAAGGCATAACTTGGATTCCTATGGTCCTTTATCATCAACAATCACACTCGTATAAATGATGTAGTGCTCGTAAGGCTCTTGTATGGGCTTTTCAGAATCCAGTTAAATGTCCAATTGCTGGAATTAAAACATTTCTTATCAGTCTGCAGTCAAATATAGTAAAAACCTGCCAATAAATGCTAATAACAGCTTGCAAGTAGAACACTTTACTGAAGTCAGATTTATTGGAACACCTCCTATTTGAACATTGAACACACCATTATCAAAAAATTGACTTAGAGGAAGTGGAACACTCTATTTTCAAAAATCATTTGGATGAAGCTCAACAGTGATTTCTTGGCAGGAAAAACAAGACAACTTGAGAATTAGCAAATCAGGATTATAGAGTTTCATTATAAATTGAATTGGAAGGACCTTCCAAGTGGAAGTTATGATAGTTATGATTTTTGGCGAAATATTCCAGTCGGGTCAACCCAGTTGTCCGAAACCCAATTCTCCGAAACCCAGTTGTCCGAAACCCAGTTGTCCGAAAATTACAGCTTATAACAGCTCTGTGAACGAGCACTCTTTCATTGGGGGCCTTCATTGGTAAGCTAAAGGGTGTATTTGAGAGTAAATATCATCAACTGAACGATTCCTTTATAGGCTGGTATTAATAAAACTGTCAAAAGATGAAAGTACAAGGGACGATACAGGTGATATAGATGTTCAAACAAACAAAGTTAAATTATGTTATTCTCAAACTCATTCTCATACTCATGTTTGAATGGGTCGGGGGATTCCGGAAGTCGTCAACATGGTCAGAATGAGGCAATATTTAATGACGTCAGAAAATACCGTGAAAATAGTCCTAACGTGAGGACTGGATGTTTTCTTTTACCCATAATATACTACTGAGCTATTACGGGTGTTATATTCACTCCCTCAACTTTTGTATTTGCAACGAAAAAGCAGATGGATGCACAAAAAATGAAGGAATTGCAATTCATAGTTCTGCTTAAGAATGAACTGGCTCAAATTGAAAGAATATCTGAATATATTAACTATGAGGAAATATTCGATTCAGAGGGAGAAATCCAGATCGGCCACCCATCTAAAATGTGAAACTGACTTAAACAACTTGACCCGTGCAAAACATGTTCTTTAAAGTGATTTCATATCGTATCGCATTCGATATCCTATAAACTATTTTGCAATGTGTGAAAAGAATTCAAGGCTTGCACTCAACTCAATTTGACTATTCAGATTGAAATATTCTAAATTAATCATTCAGAAACAAGTTGTTCAATTCTTCAGGAATTTATCAGACAGTGCTTTTTAATTCTTCAGGTTTTCTGATTTAGGATTCAATAATCATTAGCTTATGACTATGAAAAGCTTTTTATGCATCTGTTCTTGTTTGGAAAATCTGTTGAATTGATTTTGATTTGTAAGAAATACACTTTAAATCAATCAATTTAAAATCAGTTGTAGATACTTAAGAACATGAACCTTATACAGATGGTAGAATATTGGAGAAACACTATTTTTGATTCTAAATAAATACTTAGGAAACACTGCTGAAAATCCTGAAAAGGAAGATATCTGTTTCTGCTAACTCAAGAGCCAGTTTTTATTAAACATATGTATAATATTGAGAGTATATTGATTTGAAATTGTTAAATGTAATGATAAGCATCTGTTCTACTGTTTTGGTTGACTATCCAACATACCTTTTAGAGAAAATGACTGGTATATCCTCCTATAAAGATTTGGTTACCTTATTTTCGCATTTGAAAAAAGAAAAGGGTTGAGTATTGAACTTATTCAACAAAAAAGAGAATAGGATTATGTGGCCTTTGAATGGGTTATTCAATGATGCCTAAAACTAAAATTATTTTCAAAAAGTACATAATTATTTACTTAAAGGCCCCATGTAAAGTTAAAACCACTTTGGCTTTTATTACAACCCTCCCAAAAATTACCAGATGGTCATTTGAAACTTTTCAATTGAATTTCAAATAGTAGATTTTGAAGGACTCTTTGCTCGAAAAATTATGGATTTATTTCAAATTAAATTTAGTTGTAATTGCATACATTGTTCAGCAATAATTTACATTAACACATAAAATAAATCCTTACCTAGTTTGCGTTGAAAAAACTGGTTAGAAAATAAGCAAGAAATTATATCATAAATATTTGTCAATCTCATTTCAAGTAAAAACTTAACATTACAAAGACACATTGGAAAATTCATTTATCAATCATTTAAGAATTTATAGTCAGAATGCAGGGTATGTGCATCACACTTTAAATGTAACTTTGTCCTTTCATCATGATGTATACTTCCTTTTATTTTTGGTTTTTGTATATCTCGTATATATTTTTCTACTTTTGCTTTAGTTAGTATTTGTAGTTTAGATATTTAGTTTTTCATAGTTATGACTAATGTAATCATGTTATGACACAAGATGTCAATAAAAGTTATATGTATATATAAAATAAGTCAAAAAGTGCTAATATCTATTTTATGTAGATTTTCA